CCCCTACCTTGCATAGAGACTCATGCCGTCCCCTCAAAGATTACCTTAAGGATGTTGTACCGTTGCACATCACAGAAATCTCGCACGCCTATCTCGGTGCCCATGTACCAGCCGTTGAAAGGGCAGCCAGTGAATTCCAGGCCTCCCACTTCGAGCAACATGTTGGCCACAGCAGGCATCGCATACCACTTCAGATCCAGGTCTTTAAACCATTCGTACCTTTTAAAGAAACATTTGGACTGTAAGTAAGTAGCTTCCTTGGTGTTCTCTTCTGACTACAACTAGCAGCAATTAGGAAGCAGGGACAATGCTATCTGCTGTATGAGACAAAGCTACGGTGAACACACTGCAAAGGCTCAGAATGAACTTTCAATAACTATGCAAAACCTTAGAGTTCTTTCTTGAGGAAATAGTGTCAAATAGTGTCAAACAAATAGTGTCAATGCTATCTACTGTATGAGACAAAGCTAAAATGACTGCTGTCTACTGCTGTCTACTGGATCATCAGGAAGCTTTGCACTTTCAGTCTCAAAGACTAGACCTCAATGACCTGAGCTTATGACTGGCAAGAGCAGTAAATTGTTGTTTTCAATGTGGTCAAGCCAGATGGGCTTCAATTCAATGACGTACGCTATGATGATCGCTCTGCAGAAAGCACATGCTTAAGTACTGTAGTGAACTGGAGGTGTGCTGATACCAAAACAGCATGCACCTTACACATGCATTACACACATACAAGAGACTGCGTGCTTTAAAAAAGCAACATGCTTTTGTACATGGCTGAGGGAAAGATGAGAAAAAAAAGTTTCTTGTAAAAAAGCTATTACTCTGCATTCATTTAAATACAATTTAGTTGCTGTACCACACATTTTATCTCTCGAGTTAATTTAACGTAATTTCAGCCTGACAAAGAAATAATAAAAAGACTGCTGCAGGGCACAAACTAATAACCTGGCCCAAATAATAGCTGAGCAGGGAAGGCGAGGTGGAGACACAGATGCAATTATCTCAATTCAGTCTGCTTACTTTGGATGCTCCATTGGCACTTCAAGGATAATTTCTGGAGGCAGTTCAAATATTTCCGGGTCTTGGCCGTTTGCTTGGATAATCAGTGGAACTAAATCAAAGCGACCGTACTTGGGCTTCCACCCAAGATCAATGCACAACTGTAAGGAAAAAAGGCAGGTTTTGTTTTGTTTCTCTGCAGGTTTGACCACAAAAGAATGTTAACCCTTTAAATCCTCTCTGGATAGCTCCCTAATGCTAAGGGCTGTCTTTCCCTTAGGCAAAGCCATGTTTTTTTTCCCTAGGACTCCACTGGGCTCCCTCATATAAAGGTAATACAACAGCTAAATAGCTATACAACCCTGTCAGTAGCCAGGGGCAGCAACATGCCTCTGAGACAACGCTCCTTAACTCTGGAGTAGAGGAGAGAAATTTGTGATAGGATAAGAGCAAAAATGATTGCTCCTGACCCCTCCTCCTCCTCCTCCTCCCCCTCCCCTCCCCTCCCCTCCCCCTCAGCCAACTAAGCTGCACTGATTGGGGCATTGAAGTCAAGCTCCACCTATTCCCACTCCTCCTTCCTACTTCAGGGAGGGGCAGGAGGAAGAAATGAGCACTAAGACCAGCAAGACTTAATGGGAGTTGGATCAGGTTAATGGAGGATTTTTGACCAATCCATGGTTTTAGGGAGCCACAAAAAGAGAACCAAAAAATCCCTGCATCATTTACATTGGCTAGGTGATAAGGGAAATAACAGAGATGAGCTAGGTGGGATGGATAGGTGTTTTGTAATTCCTGCTTGGGACCTTACCTGTGTCAGCTGCACACAGCCTGGGTCTCCGATGATGGACCCATCTGGCATTTGGTACCCAGCGTATCGGATGAGCTGGCCATTCCATATGCGAAAATCATGTTTCCCATCAGTCCGTTGAGGGAAGACAGTGATGGCCGACCTGCCCAGAAAGAACATTGACTCCCATTACAATGCAGCAGGTCAAACGCATTTTGATTATTTGGATTAAAACTGTTACTGCTCTGAGTTATTTCATGTTTTGTAAACTAAGCCCAATAACCAAACAATAGCAAAATGCAATCATCTTATTACCCACTTCCTTTCATATTACAGACCTTAAAGAAAGAGGAGGGAAGATGTAACAGGACACAGATAGTGCCAGAAAAATTAAGAATGGAATAAAGGGAAACAAAACTTTTAGAGAAAAACACCCCAGAAAAGAACACCTTAGATGTCTGGGTTTGCAAGATCAGTGATGGATCAGCATACCTTATATTTCCATTGTTTGTGGAGTATTCAATGTGGCGACAGATATGTTCAAACATTTCCTTGGCTGTTTTACAGTCACGTGCATCGAACACCTATATATTCCAAAAAGAAATATAGGAAAAGAACTGATTTAGCAAAAAAATGTAAGTTTATTATTTTTCTAACACAGTTCAGTCTTTATCATAATCTAAGGTTCAGGCACAATGGATTACACTGGTGTCTGGCAAACAGGATTTTGCCAGGAATGTTTCATCTTAAATGCTGTTATATGGAACAGATAAATAGATCTCTGTGTTCCTGTAGTGTATTGGAGATATATTTGCTTCAGGTGTTCAGCTGGCCTATACAAAATGGTGTGTGATGTCATGAATATTTTTCTGCTTGCAAAATGATTTGATGTAACTCCAAACTGAAAACCTAGGGAAGAGATCCATCTCTCCTGGTCTAAAACAAAGGTCAGGTCTCAGGTGATGCAAATTGACACAGCGCTGCTGAAACAGAGATCACTGTTCTAATATCTGTAATCAGTCACTAAATCACCTGTAGATTGGACCACTGGATTCTTCCTATGCATCTTGGAGCATTTCTCCAGGCCTGTTTGGTCGCAAAGATAAGTTCATCTTTGGTCAGTTGATAGGTTCCTGTTGTTTCTATCTCTTTATTAACTGCTTCCATTCGGGCCAGATGTTCTTCTACTTTTGGTCTGGAGAGGAAGAAATAATTGTGAAGAGAAACAATGAGTTTTGCAGTAGGCAGAACTGATTTCATTTGCAGAAGCAGTTTGTTTCAGTTACAATGCTCTGAGTCAAGTAGTGATTCAGCAAGTGTGGGTGCAGAGAGAGAATTTTAGGTCTGCAGGTGGGCTGACCTCTTCGTTCAACATCTGAAAGCAAAATTAATCTACAAAAACAATTGTGATGCTATACAAGAGTTCCTGAGCCTCAGATTCATGAACCATCCTTGGAATATGAATTCTGGACTACTTAACCCGGTGATTCTCAACCAGGGTGCCATGACAGCCTTTGAAGGGTGCCACTGGGATAGAGGAGATAAATGAGACAGTGCAGGCTCCAGAGAGAAGATAAGTCTCGTTTCTGCCCTTCCAGCCACTCCTTCTCCCTGCACTCACTGCAGCGCAGGCTTTTCCCTGCCAGCTGCTCCATCTCCTTCCCAGCCCCTCATCGAGAAGGTAAGCTCTATAATAAATTAATTTGTTTTGGAAGTGGGGTGGTGCTTGATTCACAAAATTCTGGAGGGGTGCCTCGAGTCTAAAAATGCTGAGAACCACTGACTTGACCCAAACTGGTGCAAAAATGCAAGGCTAACGAGAAGCTATAATGTTTAATCTTGATGCTCTGCCATCCCCCAATCAGTTGGCTTCCACTTCCAGGCATGTCATGCACTAATCACACTCTTAGACTGCCTCTTTTGTCCAGCTTTCCACATTAATTTCTCAATGCAGATTTAGATTATCCAGGTTTCTAGTTTAACTCTCATCAAAGTACTGGAAGGTCTGCAGTAGGGAAAACACATCTACAATGGCAGATGGGTGAGGGGAAGTGGTCTAATTATTAGACTCTAGTAGTTGATTGCTCTCTTTCTCATTTCTGTTGTTTTACCAGAAATGTATTGCTCCTAAGCAAAGTCAGTAGAAACTCTACACCAAAGAGGAAAGAACAGCCTTCAAAAAATCATTACACTGATAGCAGAAAGAATGAAGACAAAATATTAGGAAATACTTATCATGGCACAGACAGAAGTTGTTCTGCTGGCTGATAAACAGAATGAAAATAGGCTGCACCAGGATGAAAGATCAAGGGCAGCACAAAAGACAGTGCGCTCAAATAGCCAAGGAGTGAGGTCACCTCCAAGCAGATATTACACAGATTTGGGGTATTTAATGCTGCAGAAAGTGAAAGCTCCCAGTATCTTAAGGTAGGATTTTTAGAAGGACTCAGCACCTAGAAATGAACCACCTTTATAAAACCAGTAGTTGTACTGAGTCTATCTGAAAATCTGTCATTAAGTGCCATAACACAAGGAGCATGGCACTGAGTGGTTCTGAAACCCTGGGTCCCAAGCACTTGAAAGAGTGGTCTTGAACTTTGAAAACACAGGCCTTGAACTGCTAGGGCTGGAGCCTCATTGCAGCATCTCTGAAGTGAGCAATTACCCTTCGTTTAGAGCAGCGCAAGTGAAGGGACAGTCTGGCCCACTGGATCGAATTCAGCCGTTTGCAGTGGATGTAATTCCCATTAAAATTACACCTGTGCTGCTTTTGTGCATTTGTGTTGCTGGCATGGGAGTGTAAATCATCAGTAGAAATACTTTTCACTGCATTGTTAGTTTACAAACATCCAGACTTTGCACACATGCATGTACACACTGCACTTTACTCACAGGAGTAGTTCCATTAACTACTGGGACTGCTCCTGGGAGTGAAGTAGAGCTCAGGGCTTGCAGTACCTGGCTCAAACACAAGAACAGAATCAAACCGATATTCAATGACTCAATCAGGAAACTCCCTCTATGAGGAAACTGATTTACAAAAATAAGGAGGAACCAACAGTGCAATGACCTCCTGAAAGTGTCTGCCTCTGACCATGATATGAAGCAATTTTAACTTGGTTGGTGATATGAAATGCCATAATCTCCTGATGACCAGAGAGGAAGAAGCACTGATCTGATGTGCTAAAACTGCCTTACGGGCAACCTCACAAGGGAGGAAAGGAAGCTGCTATAAAATGATCAGCGTACTGGAACCTCGTATCATAAAAGTAAATTTAAAATTCAAGATTATCTGAGCCATCATCAGAACTAATGAGGTAACCTAGTACTTTACCCTGTAAGGTGGTACTCATACTAAGCACCTTCAGCCCTCATTGACTTTAACACAAGTTGCTTTGTCTCTTGCAGGAGCAAACCATTATTCCCTATAAACCACTAAGGCCATACAATACAAAATTTAACAGATTCCAATTCTGTATTCACCAAGAGGGTGGAACTGAGAAGCCAACAAGTGATAGTAGGCACTAACCCACCCACCACTAACAGTTCTTTTCTATTTCTTAAACTGTCTGGTATGCCATGGGGTGGTTTGCAGGTGACTATAATGAAAAGGATAGAAGAAGACGCTTAGATCTGAAAGACAGACCAGACAATAATAACAAGAATTAAGTGCAAATCGCCTTACTCTTTGAACGAGCCGTAGTACTGATTGACAAATTCTATCGCCTGAGGTAGAAGTTCCTCTGGTGGGACTGGCTTGTCCCTAGGGCCTCTCATAAAACCTTTTGGGGTCATCAGTGCCCCTTGGCAAGCCTTGGTCCTGCAGTTCATAACCTAAAAGGACAGGGAAATGTAAAATACAAATTGTACCAAATGCTTTTCTAAGCCAAGGAAAGCGACCCACTGAAGTTTCATCTTCTTACCTCCTTTGCCTGAAGGTGCAATGTATCTTGAAGGATGCTGCCATTTTCCATGTTTTTTATTTTTACATATCTTGGACACCTCGGATTTTGGTTCGCTGGCTTGATGCCATTTTGTGGAGGTTTCTGAGCAGGTGGAAAACAAAAATAAAAAGGGTCATTGGCTTTTTTACAAAACATCAGGTATTTCCCTCAATTTATCCCTTGGGGATTTCTGTTGGCCCATTCTGACTGCACAGAAGCCCATGAGAATTTAAGTGAGACACCATGGAGCCCCTTATTCACCTCAAAGAGTGCTTACTCATCCAAGTATGAAACTACTTATGTGATGCAATGGTCAGCTACTGTAAACCATTTGGTCTTCAATAAACCAAGGAGCTAGATTTTTGATACTTTTATTCTAGTGAAGCAGTAGCTTACTAGAATAAAAGCAGTGGCAAGGCTTTCTATTAATTTCAAGGGTACTTCTCAAGGTGAGCGTGGTGGTCCAAATGAAGTGATGAACGAAATGGGTTTAGAGATAAGATACATCTCTTGCTTGTTAATAAAGGCTGTGATTTTCAAAGGAGCTCAAAGGACTACGGAAATGGTATGCCAAAAGAATAAGAGCTGGACACCTCTTCCTCTTAGGTCATTAAAAAATCCTCAGCAGAGATCGCTTGCATTTAAAATGCATTTCATGCAAGGAGCTCAAATCATACCTCGTGCCTTGCCCTAATGACTAGACAGCTATGTGTCACACAATTAGCACATTAGAAGCTCTGACCAGCAAGCACAACCCCTACAAATCCTTTGGATCCAGTACTGAAGTCAGAAACAGAAGTGTCTCCTCTCACTAACCTCGGCTGCAGTTTTGACACACGGCATCTCATTCTGTTTCTTGCTCAGGTTATCGGCATCTTCTTTCATTAAGCTTTAAAAGGAATAAAAAGAATTTGATTTAATACAACAACCTTTATTTTTAAACCACTGCAATGAACTTGAAATGTAAGGAGGGAAATGCTTAGCATTACATCTGAAAATAATACCAACCCAGTAAGCCAGCACTTCTCAACCTGGGGGAACAGAAACAGGTAGCAGGGCTGTAGCTGCCTTTCCCATACTGTTAAAAGGGTTGAGTGTCTCAGAGAGACTGGGGATGCAACAGGCTGAGACTCACTGGGATAAGCTAAACCAGAGGAAATATGTCGAGAAGCTACAACTATGGCCTGTTAATAAACTACTGGTACTTACAAAAATTAGACAAAGTCAGGAAAGAATTCTGTGAACTTTTCAAACAAATTCAGTCTCACAGTTCATTAAGCAAATGGCTTGCTTTCTTTTATGTTTATTGCCTTTGTTTCCTGCATGGGGTCTGACTTCTGAACTCTTTTCTTCCTTTTAATTTGGATGCCAGGTTTGAGAAGATGAAACTTAACTGAAAAGATCTCAGACAGAAGTGCTGGCATGGGGATGACAACGATGAACTTTAGATCCTTTTCATCTTAGGGCCAGAATCTGTCTTGTGCTCTGACTGCTGAGCAGCCCCCCCGCTGGAGTCAGGTTCATGATTCTATGCCTGATGCCTATTACTTTCAGTAATAAAACGGAAAGATTGGGTGTTGGAGTGGGAAGAAGACATCACATTTACATGGAACATAGGGACTAAAATGAATGGCATCCTTTGACATAAGGGATATTTAAGAAGTGCATGGTATGGTCTTCTATAGAAGCAGTAATCCAAACCACTTTACACAGTTAAATCAGGAAGGAACAGGTGGAGTAGAGAGAAATCTTACCTGTGATCTTTCATGGCTCCTTTTTCCACATTATTATTTACATCTTTCTCTTCAAAGGACCGGTTCTTACTGGCTTGATTCTTGAATGCAAATTGCCAAGGGCACAGCATTTTGTGTACTTTAAGTTATGCTGCTACTTCCCAACCCTGATACTGTGATTTAGGTGATGAGGAGGAGGCTTCTCTAAGGAAGGAAATAAAATGATGTCTTTAGTGATAAAGGAGGCAACACCCGCTCTGGGCAGGATGGGGAAGCACAACGGACTTAACAGACTTACTACAGTTAACATCCTCTGATTAAAAATGAGAAAGCACATGCTACCTGTACCCCAGACACACTTAAATGTCTTTCAGATGTGTTCAGGGTCAATGAAATACAAAGCATAGTTCATCAGTGTCACAAAAATACATTTCTGTTTTCAGTTTAGCATACCCGTTTTTTCAGAACTTTAAGTGTAAAAAAATACGCTCCTCTGTTTATTTAAATCTCTAATTTTGTAGGAGACTGATCTAAAATGTGAAAGCCTGGGTCATTCACACAGTAAAGATTCCCCTCACAGAGAAATTCTTCTCCAGGGAACTAAAGCCATTTTGCAGCACCTGAGAACTTGATGTTTACAGGTTTCAGCTTCTGTTCAAAAACTGCAGGCGCGGAAGCAACTTGTGTGCTCTACACTGTGTATACAACAGAACAGAACATATCCCTAACCCAGGTAGCACTATCAGTCAGAAGTTAATCTGGTGCCCTATTAATTATCACGAATTGTCTTATCATTCTTTTGGACTCCAGATTTTCTGCTAACTTCTGGTCCCAAAGCAAAGTTTTCTTCCATGGGAAAAAAGAGATGCTTGATGGGTAACACTGAAACTAGTTTGTTATTTAAAACTTCTTTGGAAAACCAACCAAAGACCGACTTGTAGTCAAGAAGTCTGAAGATCAGGAAAGACAGGACATTTGCTTTTCATTTTTTCTAACATATGTTGATTATTTGTATTGCTGTTGCACCTAGAAGCCCCCATTGTAAGAACAACCTGTACCCAAAATGTATTCATTGAAATGAATGCAACTACGTCTAAAGAAATTGCTATTTAGTATAAAGATGTTAAAAGCCCTTAATAAAAGTAAAAGAGGAGAAAAGTGATTATGTATAATAATAGTTACTACACTAGAAACATATCTAGCACGTTACAATACAATAGAAAAAAAATGAAGACACCCCTTCATTCTTTAAAATCTGGTCTTATAAATAAATCTAAATGTAAAAGAATGATCTTTTCTAATGGTGTAAACTGCTGTGAAGCACTCTCAGAATTGTATATAGCAACCCCAGATTTTCAAATATGAGACCTATGAGCAGCAATTGGTACTGAAAAGCTTTGGAACTGTAATCATGGTGAAGCATGCTGAGTTGATGAAGTGCATAATTTTTTCATCTTTATTTTCTATGTGTTGATGATAAAAATAAGAAACCCCTTGTTTCTCTAGGTCCTTGAAAGCAATTCAGGAACATTCATTATATTGTTTTTACTTAAAGGAAACTTTAAGGACTATAGCAAAGAAGCTAAAGTTTGTGAGGCAGAGAGACAGTTTGGAAAAGCAAAAAATTAGGAAGTGGAATAAAACTGTTAACTGCTTGGTTGGCTGCTCAGTCAAACACAGAGTTGCCTTACCTTGCTTTCGCGAGAAGTTTTTCCAAGTCTGTAGCCTTCTCAGCCAAAGTTTCTTGCCTGTAACCTCAGTGGTACTGTGTCCCTGTTGGATCGTGAATGCCTTTTATACTCTGCTGGCATTAGGTATGCAAAACAGAGGGTTGATCGTACACGTGGGTAACGCAGGACAGGGAAATCCCTGAACCTGAAAAGGAGTGTGGCTGACGACTAAAATATTACTTAATCCTGCATGACTGCAGCACAGTTAGACAGCAGTTCCTGATGTTTCATCATAGAAAAAACGTATACAGATACTCTCTAGACTATCATGATTGCTCTGCCTAAGATTTCAATACATGCTTTGGTAATCAGGAAATTATACCATATCAGAAGTGGCTGCAGTGTTATTTTTAGTTTCTTCCTTAAGTCAAACGTTTTACAGGAAAAGCCTTTATAGACTTAGGGTTCCCATAGAATCTTTAAACCAGGGATACAGAGTTTTCTATAAGATACTGTGGGATAAGCTTACAATGCTAGAGAAAGGAAATCATTCTCTATAGCTTTTAGCAATAATTCCTATAGAAACTTTTAAATTTTTATAGGAACTTATTGGTTTAGGCCCTAATCGAGCAAAGCATTTGAGGTACATGCTTAAGTTTAAATATAGCATTAATTCCAAGATGGTATGCTTAAAATGAAATGTGTACTTCAGGTTTTTGCTGAATTAGGGTCTTATCTCCTGCTGA